GGGAAGACTAAGCCTATATGGCATTCAAATCCGAAATAAAAAATTTGCGTGCAACACTCTTCGGGGAGATACTCGTCTCTGCGTGCAACCGTAAATACATATTTCCAAATAGCATTTCCACACTCTTCAGTCATGGAATGTTACGAGCAGGTTCGCATAAGCAACTCTTCTGTCGCTGATAGCTTTCGTAGTTGTTCAGGGGAATTAACATTCGGGATTGGACTTGCCCGGAGCTGGTTGAGATGATGCCATCTTGATAGCCAACAAGAGCACCACCGTGGCAGCCAAGATGCTATGCTTCTGCACTGCCATCGGTGATCTCTTGTTGTAGCTGGCTACCTAGCGAAGGAAACTTTGGAGGCGAGTTGTATGTTAGAGAAAGGGATTATTTATAGGTTATGTTTTTTTTAAAGCTTAGGATGTTTTAAAGTTTAGGATGTTTTAAAGTTATTTTTATTTATTTATTTATATTTTTTGACCAATGAGAAATTGAGGGATGGGAAAATAATTACAATATTACTGCACTGGCAGCTTGAACCATTGACAAAGAAGCTAAGGGGGAAGGTGCACTTCCATCGCGGTTAAAGCCGCAAGTGTGTTTTAAAGTTAATTTACATGTAATTTAAGACTAAATTATAATTTCTTGAGTCATTTAAGATCCTTTGAGACTTAGCAAACTGTGTCTTTGGCTCCAATTTTTTGCTTTAATTCTTTTTTAAATAAACCTTAATTATAATTGAGGGATTTCTTTTAAATCTTAAAACATTTAATAGGAACAATTAAAATTTAAATACTCCACCTCCACCCGTTTATTAAATTTGGTGAGTTTAGAAACCACCTGCTAACTAACAAGAAGACCCTCAAGCCTTAGTGGGGGTTAGCAAGAAGACCCTCGTGCCTTCAATGGTGTAGAGCATAGGATTTTAAATGAAACAAATCACTATCAAACCTCACTTTGAATTAGATGAATGAAGATTTGAAAAAATGAGAGAATTATTTCTTATTAGAAGAAAAAGAAGATCATCATACAACAAAAGGAATGTTGGGACAATTAAAACACCAGAATTAATAATAAAATGTATTAAATATTTTTAATGAATTAATATGCCAAAAAAATTTATTAATAATTTTTGAATAATTATACATGACATCTAGATTTTTATTTTCCCACATATATTGTACTCCCATTTTCCCAAAGAAAGAGACAATTGATGAGAGGATCGAGGAAAATCAAGACATTTTAACATTTAAAATATTAAAAATAATAATAACAAAAATTAAAATGTTTTTAATAAATTAACATGTTAAAAAATTATTGAAGGTATACAAACAACATTGCCACCATGGTAACCGCCCTGCCATACCGGTACCGGCGGCAACGGTCCGGCAATTCTGTAGACAAATTCTTTTATCATTTTTCTTTTATTATTTCTCTTTAATAAACTCACGATTATTTGCACCCGGCCCTTGAGGTCCACTGACATTAAGCCAGCCGATGCATTCCCCCCTCCTCTAGACAGGTTCGAAATCCGTCATTTGCAAAAATGTTTAAAAAAAATAAATAAACTCACGATTATTCAAAAACCATATTGTCTCGTTATTAATCCAAAATCTTATTCTTACGTCTTCCATGATAAAACTCTAACTTGACGAGAGATGTAGTGTTAATTATTTAAGTAATGTAGTATTATAGAAATAAAAGATTTTTAAATTTATGTCATGTGAGTATATATTAAAAAAATTTTAAAAATAAAAATAAATATTTAATTTATTAATTATTTAATTAAATTTATACATATGTAGTGTTAATTATTATATTTTTTTATATAAATTTATTATAAAAAATTACTCTTACATAGCTGAAGATAGAACTTAGAAAAATCCTAAACATAAAAGAATTTGATTTTAACTGATATGAGATATAAATCAAATAAGATGCAAGATGAGGGGGAATTACTTTATCAAAAAGAAAAAGAAAAAAAAAAAAGCCGTAGCTGCTTCCACTCGAAGTTTATTCATTTTTCTTTTATTGAAACTTCCATTTTTATCCTTACATCAAAAAAAAAATAAACTTCCATTTTTATCCACCAGGGACCCTAAACACCGTTCCAGTTCTCTCCTAACTCTTCATTCTAACATCTCTAGTCCAAGATTTTCTCCTTCCAGTCTCATATCATATGCGCCTCTGCTTGTTTTTCCATCTACCGTTCTTCAATTTTCTTTGAATTCTATGGGCATCTGATTTGCATGGGCAATAATAGTAAGCCCCCTTCTTCTTTTTCTTCCATACCCTTCGAATTCTGGGAAAAAAAGGGAAGAAATTTGAAGAAATTTCGTTACTTTGAAGGTGGGCAGTTTGGAGAAAGTGCTGATTGACCTTTTGAAAGATTTAATAGAGAGGAAAGCAGGAGATTGTGTGCCTCCAGAGGAGAAATCCCCTCAGAATATTGTAAGTAAATAGGTGTTGCATTCTTCTAGCCTTGTATCTTCAAAAGCAGTGATCTTTCTACAGTCTTGAAGTGTTCTTGTTAAATCCCAGCCTGCAACCTTATCCAAAAGGTCAGGTTTGTGCTTTAACTTTTACATTAACTCCATCTTAAATAGTTGCAGACATGCTTCTTAGAGAAAAGATAATTTAAGGTCTCTTTTGAGGAGGCTTTTGAAAACCAGTTCATAATAAATAAGCTTTAAATGCAAAAACAGCAACAGTAGGAAACTCTTGGTCTCCCAGAAATTGTTGATCTCTTCACTAGCTAACCTGAAATAGGGTGAACAATACATGAGCTATGAAGCTCAATAAGCATAGGTTATAACTTAAGAGCTATAATTGAATTCCTAATTTAACTTAAGAAGTTCCATCAATTAACTTATGTTGTTCTTCAATACAAAACCTATTTCAAGATACAGGAATTAGGTATAGGATAATCATCATCTTGTAAATAATCCTCATTCTCTAAATTAGAACTATCTAATTTAGGACAGGTAAGTTCAATCCAAGCACATGCTTACTTGGTCTCCATTCTAGAACAACAGAAAATATATTCCTTTACCGTAGGAAGTACAGAATCAGTTCCATCAAACACTGCTCATCAATACTGAACAGTTTCATGAGTGTCATAAATAAATATGACAAATACTTTCAATAATGTAAGATAATAGCAAGGCAGCCTTATGCTTTTTCAACACGTAGATGAATGCAAGTTCTTATCTATGGATTTTTCCCTTGTGGGTGTACATCCTACCTTACCAATGCTCCAACTAATGGTTCTTCCTACTGTGCAGTGGATCTAGATATCTTCTTCACATTCCCAATCCAACTGGGTTCCATACCCCCGGTCAAACTGGGTTCTACCTAGCTCAATAGCTCAAGTATCATTTTAGATGTCTTTCTTTCTTTACCTCAAATATGTTAACTTTCGGAGCATCATTATTCTTTACTCAAACTTTAGGAGTATCTTACCCAGCCTAACAGCTTAGGTATCATACCATAGATTTATATGCATATAAACAACACTATAAACTATTTTGCATATACTTTAGTTATAGCAAGACAAGTTATCATTAAATCACAGCAAGATGGCACAGTAGCTTTTGTCAATTAAAGCTTTCAAAAGCCATATCTACATGTCCAACATGTAGTCTCAACTTTAATCTAGCACTGACTTAGAGCGTAGACATGGCTACACAATTAAATTCAACTTGCATAATAACTCGTCTATTTAGTACCTTTCATAGTTAATAGATTCTTAGAATTTTAGGCTTAATTCACAAACATGACAAATCATATATGGTTCAGATACAACAGCTAACCATGTGCTAATTCATAATTTCAATTGCATGTTAAGCATTCTTCTTTATTAAGGGCCTGTTTGGTGGAGCTTTTGGGAGCTTTTACTTTTTTTGTATTGTTTATGAGTGATAAATTTAAATTTTTATTGGAGGAAAAATTTAAAAGTTGCTTTTAGAAATAGGAAAAAGCGAGGAAAAAGGAAGTTTATAAAAAGCAAGAGTTTGAAGCTTTTGAGCTTTTACTGTTTAAAATCCTTTTAAGGTTAAAAAATAGTTTAAAAATGTAAGTTTTTAAAAGGGAAATTTAAACTTATGAAACATGAATAGTGTCAAAAAGCTGAAGCTCCAAGAAGCTGAGCCAAACAGGCCCTAAGCCTATTTCTTGCATTAGCTTTAGTCTAGGATCATATTTAACCAGACAAATATCATTTTAAATTCAATTACATGTTAATTTTGCTCGAGCCCCATGATAAAAATATAGGTTGGCCCAAATGCAACAACACCTCTAGGAAAACAAAGTCAACAAGATCTTGCAGCTACCAACCAACAGAACGCATCTAGCCCCTTCCTTTGTTGCTTGGCTAAAAGAAAGAAAGCCCAGAAATTCAGAATTGTAAATGGTAGGAACATGCATAAGTGGGAATAAGAGAAAAGATGTCTAGAATCCTTTTGTGCAGACTAGAATTAGACCATGGTATTTCTAGTGGTTTTAGCCACTCTTGCAAGCCACTTGTCTTCTATAAAGGCCAAGTGTTGCATTTTACATGGTTAGTGGTGGATGCGTGCAACCCACTAACCAAGTATCACAGTTGGCCATGCAAAACCTCAGTTTCTGTTCTATGCTATTAAGTCCTTAACAATTAAGGACATCAATTCTGACTATAAACAATGAAGGACAGGGATGTTTCAGTTCTTGTTGAGGGCATCGCTTGAAATGAAATTAGAATGCTTTAATTTGTAAAAATTGCAGAATGGGTTTTCCTTGTTGCATATGGCTACCGAGAATTATGGGTAATTTGTGGGTTGGTGGCATTCATTTCTTTCATTTCTTAATCTTTTTCTCTCTATTTTCTTTCTGTTTATTTTTTCAGGTTTGTGTCTTCCAAGAGTTTAGTGAGTATACCGAAACAGGATAGGAGAGACTTTTTGCATCATAAATGGATAAGAAGTATACAAAGAAGACAAAGTGGGATGAAGAAACCCAGATGGATCGGCTAAGTGATTTGCCTGATAGTTTACTACATCACATTCTTTCCTTTATGGATGCTAAATATGCAGTCCAAACTTGCATTTTGTCCAAGAGATGGGTTAGTGTTTGGACTCATCTTCCTGTTCTCAAACTTGACTCGAAGTTCTTCAATAGAGTGGGTAACTTTAGAAGTTTCATATCCCAAGTTTTGGACCATTGTGAGACCTCTAACATCCTTACACTTAGCATTTGCTCGTCCAAAAAGAATTTAGCGAGTTCTCTTGTTGATAAAATTATAAGCTTTGCTGTTTCTCACAGTGTTCAGGAGCTTGATTTGTCTTTGAAATACCCTATAGGTGACTTGCAAAATGTTTTCAGGTGTCAATCTTTAAGGTTTCTCAAACTTGATTTATTTTGTGGCCTTCCATTACCAAACTCAATCAGTTTTGCATCATTGAAGACTTTGATTCTTTGCAAAGTTTATTTGAAGAGTGAAAACTACTGCTTTGATCTCTTTTCAAGCTGCTTGGATTTGCAGAATCTTGTTTTGGATCATGTTATTTTAACCATCTGGGACATCTTCAATATATCAGCTCCTGCCCTAGTCAATTTGACCATATCTAATATTCGTTTTCATGTTGCAAAGGATGCCAACATAACGAATTATGCTTCCATAGAATATCAGAAGGTTGTGATTACTGCTCCCAGATTGACCTCCTTCAGCTTCACACGTTACGGACCAGTGTTGTTGTCCATGGATAATTCTCCCCTTCTTGAAAATGTGAACCTTAGCATGTTTAATTATGACTTTCTGTTTACTCAAGATCGTTCCTTTATGCTTCTGATTGATATGTTGCGGCAGCTTGGTAATGCAAGATCACTTACTGTATCATTAGGTTTAGTTAAGGTATGTATGGAATCTTATTTGGCGTGCGTAATATCCCATAAATTTAAATTTCTTAAAAGCTAGTTATTTGTTTCGTTTTTCCATAGCCAGAATTTAAAATTGTCTGTTGTACTTTGAAGTTTCTCTCACAGCATTCCAGAGTGCTTGAAGAACAACCATTTCCCTTTTCTAAACTGGAGTCATTGAAAGTAGTGAAAGGACGACGGAATCGCAAGAAAATTCCTCCAAACGTGCTGAAGTTTTTGGTTCAGGGCTCTCCCATGGCTGAGGAGCTTCTCGCAAAGTTCCAGAAGGTATTTACAAAACTGAGAAGTACTTAACTGCTATCTCCCCTGTAGTGCTAATTGCATTCCTTTTTAACTCCAAGTTGTGATATTTTGCAAGCTGAAAAGTGCTTAAGTGCTCTCTCCATTTTTTCTTTCTTTCCTTCTATGTTTGTTGCAGCAGAAAAGAAGAATGTGTAAGCAGCCTATGGATGATTGACCAAATGTATGAGAAAGTCGGACAACATGATGTGGCCTCGTTTTGTCTTCTGATCCAATTTGTTTTCCAGCTTTTGGTGATCTTAATAATGCTAATTAGTTTAGAGGGGTGGATTTTGGAGACTTAAAAGTACATTTTATGTCGTTTCTTATCCTGGAAGAAGATTTGTTGGAGGACAGTTTCCAGAGAGATAATACATATACAAAATAATGTTTATTTCTGTTTACTCCATTGTGACGTGGCTAAATTAATGGTGTTAACGTTGTGAATTACTTGGATAGACTACATTTTGAATGTCATCATGATGAAGGTTCGCACTTAAACCTTTTCCCCTAAAACACTATTTTGGTTTCTTTTACTTTAACAAAAAGTCACATTTTAGTCCCTTTATTTAAGAAAAGTTCTTTTTTAGTTCGTAAAATTAATTATCTGATTTTATTTTAGTCATTCTATTATTTTTTTACATATGAGACACAATAAATAAGGTAAGTTTTAAAGTTGAGAGATTAAAAGAAGGTTTTTTTTTTTTTTTAAGTAAAGCATCAAAAAGGAGTTTCAAATAGTCTTTTTATAGTTCTTTTAATTTAAAATTTTTAGCATCTAACATGTAACATATATATAAAAAGATAATGGAAGGATTAAAAATGGTTAGAAAATAAATTTTAGAGATTAAAAAGAGATTTTCTTAAATAAACGAATTAAAAAAATCTTTTTATTAAAGTAGAAAAAGTAAAATGACATTTTAGCCTTTCTTATTGGTCATAAGAGATTGTCACGATAGTTTTCAGCCTGCTGTAATACTCCTCCAACAGGGCCTGCACGCAACATTCTCTTTACTTACCCTCCAAGCCTCCCTTACTAAAATCCTCATTAGATTCATGTTTTAGGTCCTCTATTGGGTATTTATGATTAGAATATTTCCAAACTACATTTTACATATTTCAAAATTAATTTTTTCTTGAATGATTTTAAGGGCACACTTCCACATATTAGATTAGTGTATTAAGCTTGAAACTTGAATTCTAAATTTGACTTACAAGGCAATAATTACTGACCAATTGATTTAATTCTTAAAGTTATGTTTTAAGTATTTGATACAACCATTAAATCTTTACCAACTCAACTATAAGTTGAAGGCATAAGCAATTGGACGGAGGGCCCTTAAATGTGACGGCAATCATCCCATCCACCGGTTTAGTTTTGGTGTCCAGCACAATATAAGCTGCGAAGTTGTGAAGTGCAACCTCATTCCTTGATCAATTTACACCCCCAAAATGGTGAAATTGTGGTAGCTTCTTTGTTCTTTCGCTTATTAATATTTATTGTAAAGAATAAATATTTTCAATCATATAATAAAATACATGATGTCTGTTTCTATTCTTATTTACAATTTCTTTTTTTTATATATATATTAATCTCGATATCTAAAAAACACATTAAATCTTGATTAATTTAAAGTAGAGCCGACTTAGACTTCATATAAAAGAAAATCCTCCCGACTTAGATATTTTGATATTTTTAAGGTCATAATATCTTTCTTTTTTTTTTTTCTTTTCTCAAAGCAAAATATTGAGGTAAAAATGCACTAACAATAACTCAGCACTTCAGCATTTAACCCAACAAAAGCCCTTTTTGAACTTAATAAATTTTTGGGAATGAAAGTAAATAGTACTTAGGTATAGAACTCAAGATTTCATATCCAAGCACATTTTTTTAAGAGGATAGCCACAAAACAACTTAATGTTGGATCAACACAATAACAATAACAATAATAATAGTACAATAAAAACCTTTGTTTAAATAAAAGTCTAAAAATTTAATAAAAAATATGAGATAGCTTCGAGTTTAAAGTAGAGTTTGGCTATTACTTTTGGATGGGGTAATATAAGAATTTTTCTATTAGACCACCCCTATTCGGGAACTACAGTATATTAACATAAAAAAGAGAAGTACAGTGTTTCCTGGGCCCTGTGCATTATGTTGTGTTCAACTGGGCTAAAAAACTGAAAAGGAAGGGCTTTAATGCTGGCCCAAAAGGCTAAGGGCTTTAACCTATCAATTAAAAACATAAGTGAGGGTTACCCTGTTAAAATAAAAAAATAAAATAAATAAATAAAAATAAAAACAAAAGGCGTAGCTACTAGCTACTCCTAGTTGAAGTTTACTTGTTTTTCTCTTTTAATGCATCAGAGACCCTAAACACCTTTTTAATTCTCTCTAACCCTTCATTCTAAGATCTCTAGTCCAAGATTTTCTTCTTCGAGTCATATCATATGCGCCTCTGCTTGTTTTTCCGTTTACTATTCTTCGATTTTCTTTGAATTCTACGGGCATCTGATTTGCATGGGCAATAATAGTAAGCCCCCTTCTTTTTCTTCCATACCCTTCGAATTCTGGGGAAAAAAGGAAGAAATTTGATGAAATTTCATTACTTTGAAGGTGGGCAGTTTGGAGAAAGTGCTGATTGACCTTTTGAAAGATTTAATAGAGAGGAAAGCAGGAGATTGTGTGCCTCCAGAAGGAGAAATATTCCCCCCTCAGAATATTGTAAGTAAATAGATTTAGCATTCTTCTAGCTTTGTATCTTCAAAAGCAGCGATCTTTCTAGAGTCTTGAAGTGTTCTTGTTACATCCCAGACTTGCAACCCTATCCAAAAGGTCATGTTTGAGCTCTATGATTAACTCCATATTAACTAGTTGCAGACGTTCTTAGAGGAAAGATAATTTTTGGTCTCTTTTGAGGAAGCTTTTGAATCCAATTCATAATAAATAAGGTTTAAATACAAAAAAAAGAAAAAAAAAAGAAAAAAGAAAAAAGAAAAAACAACAACAACAACAACAGTGGGAAACTCTTAGTCTCCCAGAAATTGTTAATCTCTTCACTAGCTAACCTGGAACAGGGTGAACCATACACCATGAGCTTTGAAACCCAATAAGCATAGGTTATAACTTAAGAGCCATAATTGAATTCCTAATTTAACTTAACAATTTCCATCAATTAACTTATGTTGTTCTTCAATATAATATCTATGTCAAGATACAAGAATTAATCAACGTCTCGTAAATAATCCACATTGTTTAAATTAGAACTATCTAAGTTAGGATAGTTGACTTCAATCCAAGCACATGCTTACTTGGTCTCCATTCTAGAACAACCGGAAAATATATTCCTTTACCTCAGGAAGCATAGAATCAGTTCCATCAAACACTGCTAATCAATACTAAACAGTTTCATCAGTGTCATAGATAAACATGACATAAATACTTCTAATAATCATAAGATAATAGCGAGGCAGCCTTATGCTTGTTCAACATGTAGATGTATGCAAGTTATTATCTATGAATTTTTCCCTTGTGGGTGTACATCCCACCATACCAATGGTCCAACCAATGGTTCTTCCTACTGTGCAGTGATATAGATATCTTCCTACACACTTGCAGTCCAATTGGGTTTCTTACTTCCAGTCCAACTGGGTTCTACCTAACTCAGTAGCTCAAGTATTATTTTAGATATCTTTCTTTCTGTACTCCAAATACATAAACTTTAGGAGCATCATCATTCCTTACTCCAAGTACCTTTAGGAGTATCTTATCCAGCCTAACAACTTAGGTATCATACCATAGATTCAAATGCATATAAACAACACTATAAACTGTTTTGCATATACTTTAGTTATAGCAAGACAAGTTATTATTAAATCACAGCAAGATAGCACAGTAGCTTGCATCAATTAAAGCTTTCAAAAGCCATAGCTACATGTCCAACATGTAGTCTCAACTTTAATCCAGCACTGACTTATAGTGTAGACATGACTAAACAATTAAATTCAGCTTGCATAATAATTGGTCTACTTAGTACCTTTCATGTTAATAGATTCTTAGAACTTCAGGCTTAACTCACGAGCATGACAAATCATATATGGTTCAGACACAACAGCTCACCATGTGTTAATTATTAATTCATAATTTCAATTGCATGTTAAGCATACTTCTTTATTAACCCTATTTCTTGCACTAGCTTTAGTCTAGGATCATATTTAACCAGACAAATATCATTTTAAATTCAATTGCATGTTAATTTTGCTTGAGCCCTAGGATAACAATATAGGTTGGCCCAAATGCAACAACACCTCTAGGAAAACAAAATCAACAAGATCTTGCAGCTACCAACCAACAGAGCACATGTAGCCCCTTTCTTTGTTGCTTGGCTAAAAGAAAGAAAGCCTAGAAATCCAGAATTGTAAATACTAACAACATGCATCAGTGGGAATAAGAGAAAAGATGTCTAGAATCCTTTTCTGCAGACTAGAATTAGATCATGGTATTTCTAGTGGTTTTAGCCACTCTTGCGAGCCACTTGTCTTCTATAAAGGCCAAGTGTTGCATTTACAGGGTTAGTGGCTGACGCGTGCCCCACTGACCAAGTGTCACAGTTGGCCATGCAAAACCTCAGTTTCTGTTCTATGCAATTAAGTCCTTAACAATTAAGGACATCAATTCTGACTATAAACAATTGAGGACGGGGATGTTTTAGTTCTTGTTGAGGGTATTGCTTGGAATGAAATTAGAATGCTTTAATTTGTAAAAATTATGGAATGGGTTTTCCCTGTTGCCTGGCTACTGAGAATTATGGGTAATTTTTGTGTGTTGGTGGCATTCATTTCGTTCATTTCGTTCATTTCTTAATCTTTTTCTCTCCATTTTCTTTCTGTTTATTTTTTTAGGTTTGTGTCTACCAAGAGTTTAGTGATTATACCGAACAGGATAGGAGAGACTTTTTGCATCATAAATGGATAACACGTATACAAAGAAGACAAAGTGGCATGAAGAAACCCAGATGGATCGGCTAAGCGATTTGCCTGATTGTTTACTACATCACATTCTTTCCTTTATGGATTCTAAATATGCAGTTCAAACTTGCATTTTGTCCAAGAGATGGGTTAGTGTTTGGACTCATCTTCCAGTTCTCAAACTTGACTCAAAGTTCTTCAATAGAGTGGGTAACTTTAGAAGTTTCATATCCCAAGTATTGGACCATTGCGAGACCTCTAACATCCTTACACTTAGCATTTGCTCGCCCAGAAAGAATTTAGCAAGGTCTCTTGTTGATAAAATTATAAGCTTTGCTGTTTCTCACAGTGTTCAGGAGCTTGATTTGTCTTTGAAATACCCTATAGGTGAGTTGCAAAATGTTTTCAGGTGTCAATCTTTAAGGTTTCTCAAACTTGATTTATTATGTGGCCTTCCATTACCATTACCAAACTCAATCAGTTTGGCATCATTGAAGACTTTGATTCTTTGCAAAGTTAGGCTAAAGAGTGAAAACCACTGCTTTGATCTCTTTTCAAGCTGCTTGGATTTGCAGAATATTGTTTTGGATCATGTGTTTTTAACAATCTCAGACATCTTCAATATATCAGCTTCTGCCCTAGTCAGTTTGACCATATCTAAGATTATTTTTTATGTTGCAAAGGATGCCAAAATAATGTATTATGCTCCCATAAAAGACCGGAAGGTTGTGATTACTGCTCCCAGATTGACCTCCTTCAGCTTCACATGTTACAGACCAATGTCGTTGTCCATGGATAATTCTCCCCTTCTTGAAAATGTGAACCTTAGCATGTCTCATGATGACTTATCGGATACTCAAGAGGAAGGTTCCTTTATGTTTCTGATTGAGATGTTGCGGCAGCTTGGTAATGCAAGGTCGCTTACTGTCACATTAGGTTTAGTTAAGGTATGTATGGAATCTTATTTGGCATGCCTAATATCCCATAAATTTAATTCTTAAAAGCTAGTTATTTGTTTTGTTTTTCTAGAACCAGAGTTTAAAATTGTCTGTTGTACTTTGAAGTTTCTCTCACAGCATTCCAGATTGCTTGAAGAACAACCATTTCCCTTTTCTAAACTGGAGTCATTGAAAGTACTGAGAGGACGACAGAGTTGCAAGAAAATTCCTCCAAACGTGCTGAACTTTTTGGTTCAGGGCTCTCCCATGGCTGAAGAGCTTCTCCGGATGTTCCAGAAGGTATGTAAAACTGAGAAGTGCTTAACTGCTATCTCCCTGCAGTGTTAATTGCATTCCATTTTATGTAAAACTGAGAAGTGCTTGACTGCTATCTCCCTTGTAGTGTTAATTGCATTCCATTTTAACTCCCAAGTCGTGATATTTTGCAAGCTTAAAAGTGCTTAAATGCTATCTCTCCATTTTTTCCTTTTCTTTCCTTTTATGTTTGTTGTGCAGAAAAGAAGAGTGTGTAAGCAGCCTATGGATGATTGACCAGATGTATGACAAAGTAGGACAACATGATGTGGCCTCGTTTTGTCTTCTGCTCCAATTTGTTTTCCGGCTTTTGGTAATCTCAATGATGCTAATTAGTTTAGAGGGGTGGATTTTGGAGAGTTTAAAAGTACTTTTTATGTTGTTTCTTATCCTGGAAGAAGACTTGTTGGAGGACAATTTCCAGAGAGATAAATACATATACAAAATGGTGTTAATTTCCGTTTACTTCATCGTGGCGTGGCTAAATTAATGGTGTTAACATTGTTAATTACTTGGATAGACTATATTTTGAATGTCATCATCATGAAGGTTCGCACTTAAACCTTTTTCCCCTAAAACACTATTTTGGTTTCTTTAACAGAAAGTCACATTTTAACCTCTTTATTTAAGAAAGTTCCTTTTTAGTTCTTAGAATTAATTATCTAATTTTGTTTTAGTCATTCTATTATTTTTTTACATACATGACATGGTAAATATCATAAATTTTAAAATAGAGAGAATAAAAGGGGGTTTTTTTTTTTTTTTTTTTTATGTAAAGGATCAAAAAGGGGCTTCATATAGTCTTTTTGTTGTTTTTTTGTTTTGAAATTTTTATTATCTAATACGTAATATATATGTAATATATATAAAAAGATAATGGAATAATTAAAAATGGATTAGATAATAAATTTTAGAGGTTAAAAAGAGATTTTTTTTTTAAAGAAAAGAATTAAAAAAATTCTTTTTATTAAAGTAGAAAGAGTAAAATGACATTTTAGCTTTTCTTATTCGCCATCGGAGATTATCACGAAAGTTTTCAGCCTGCAGTAATATTTCTCCAACAGGACCTGCACGCAACAGTCTCCTTCCTTACTCTCCCAGCCTCCCTTACTTAAACTTACTTAAATTTAAGGGTGTTCGCGGTGTGGTTTGGTTTAAATTTTATTATTTTTTAAATCAATTCAATTTAATCAGTTAATAAAATTTTTAAAGCAATCCAATCTACTATTATGTGGTAACCAAACTAATCCAATTTAAATTAGATCGGTGTGATTCGATCAGATTGATCAGTTTTTAATATTGTTAAATATATAAGATAATGTAAAAATATTTTAATATCAAATAGAAAGTATAATTATAAAATAAATTAACATCCAAATCAGTAAAAACATAATAATATGTAAAAATTATAAACAAATTCTTATTCTCCTTTATATTTATAAAAATTGAAAAGCTCCGAAAATTATTTTTGGTTACATCACTAGAGGCACCAAAAATAATAAAAAATAACTTTAAATTTCTAGCACAACATAAATAATTCTTGAAGATTAAAATTCATATTTTTTTTCCTAATGCACTAATAATTTAATCACATTTTCTAAATTCTATTAAAAGTGAATAACATTTAACATGAATATTACTAAAATTGATTAAAAGCATTCATAATCAAAATTTAAAACTTCTAAACTAAATATCCAAAAATAGTAGAATATTAAGACTAATTTTATTATATAGTTTTAAGACTTTTAGAATGATACTTATTTAAAATTTAGTTAGGAGAATCATAAGATTATTTTAAAAATAAATTAGAAATTTAGGATTCTAAGAGTAAAGGCGCAAACCAGTTATGAAATAATAGAGTTGCAGGTGAATTAAAAATTTAATAATAACTTAGGAAATATGAAAATGTTCTATTTTTATTTTTTTAATTAAGTTAATGGAGTTATAATCTTGTAAAATAAGAAAAAAAATTTTAAAATACTAAAAAAAATGTGTTATATTATTTAATTAAATTATTTTCTAATCGGATTTTATTTTGTAATCGGGCAGTTCGGGCGGTTTGAAGGTAAAATTATGAACCAAACCAATTATATTAGTTTTAAAATTTTAAAATTCAAACCAATCTAATTTTATATTGGTTTGGATCGGTTTTTAATTGGATTGGATCAGTTTAGGTCGGATCAATCGGATTGGATCGGATATAAACATCCTTACTAAAATCCTCATTAGATTCATGTTTTAGGTCCTCTTGTGGGTATTTATGATTAGAATGTTTTTGGATTAGATTTTAGATATCTTTTTTTTTTTTTTCTCGAATGATCTTAAGAGTAAATTTTCACACATTAGATTAATGCATTGGGCTTAAAACTCCAATCCTAAATCTGACCTATAAGAAAATAGTTACTTATCAATTGATTCAATTCTTAGAATTATGTTTTAAGCTTTTGATACAACCATTAAATCTTTACCAACTCAACTATGAGTTTAAGGCATGAGCAATTGGAAGGAGGCCCCTTAAATGTGACGGCAAGCATCCCATCCACCGGTTTAGTTTCGCAGTCCAGCACAATATAAGCTGCGAAATTGTGAAGTGCAAACTCTTTCCTTGATCAATTTACACCCCCAAAATGGTGAGATTGTGGTAGCTGCATTGTTCTTTCTTTTATCAAAATTTATTTTAGAGGATAAATATTTTCAATCATATAATAAAATTCATAATCTCTGTTTCTATTTCTATTTATAATTTCTGTTGAAGGGCAGCAGAACAACATGATATGTAACTCATTTTCCGCCACCGAACATGAATCCACATTTTGTGATGTCTTGGGTATTCTGCCTAATTTGGTCTTTGTTCCCTTTAAACTCAGGTGAAGAAATAATTAACTCGACTAAGGGTTCATACCATGGAAATCCTTCCCAAGCAAAAAGTTGGTCACAACACTCTCTTGAGGGATGGTCCGAATCGTGGTCCATTTTTGTAAGTCTAAATATAATTCTCCAAGTAGATTTAGCACACTCTTCAGTCGCATACTTCAAGCCTCTTTGGATAAACAACTCTCTTGCCGCTGATAGATTTGGTGGTTCTTCGGGGGAATCAACATTCGGGAATGCACTGGCCGGAGCTGGAGCTAGTTGAGATGATGCCATCTTGATAGGATAGCCAACAAGAGCACCACCATGGCAGCCAAGATGCTATGCTTCTGCACTGCCATCGGTGATCTCTTGATTTGTGCCTGGCTATAGCCAGGGATGGAAACTTCGGAAGCGAGTTGGTATGTTAAGAGAAAGGGAGCATTTATGCGTTATACTCCTCTCTTTTTTTTTTTTTCCTTTTAATGGGAGTATTTATTTTTACGTCATATTTTTTAATAATTTATCTAACATTTATTTTTAGAACAGAAGTTAAAGTGTATTAAATACATTATTTTATAATAAAATTCTATAAAAAAATGTAAAAGAATAAATTTAAAGTTAACTTTTATTTTTTTTATATAAATTATTTAGAAAACAATGTAATTAATGCTTTTTTAACATGTACTCTAAAGATACAAATTAAACAAATCTTCGTTAATAGTTATGTTTTTCTAATAGTTACAGTGTTTTTAGCTGAATTTGTAGATAATTTAAGATTAAATCTCAATTGCTTGAGTAATTTAGGGTTTATTTAATATAGCAGTTTTGTGATAGCGATTAGTGGTTTTACCTAAACTGCTAAGTATAGATATTTGATAAATTTATATATTTTAAAACCATTACAAATAAAATGTTTAATAAAAATTTGTATTTAGTGATTTGAGACTAGTGGATAACAGTTAGGATTCAAATTACTAGAGAATTGAAAAACTAGTTTAGGTAGTGTTTTGTATCAAACCGTTAGTAAATTAAAATTTTTTAATTTTATTGACAAATTTTTTTTTTAATTTTTTAATTTTTGGTCATAGCTTTTAATTAATATTTATCTAATAAGTTTCAAATTTTTTTTTTACTTTTAACAACATTAAGTGATTATAATATTTTTATTTTTTACATTAATATATCATTCAAAAAATATATTATCTTAAAAAAAATTTGCTTATTAGACGAAATAATTCATTTTTTATTTAAAAATAATATAATTATTTCTATGTTAAAAATAAAAATGAGAGTGTAATTACATTATTACAATTAATTTTATTTATTTATTCATTATTTTTATAAAATTAATAATTTTAATAATAAAAAATAAGAATATTAAAAATATATACTTAATTATTTTTAAATATGTTTTTATTAATTATTTAATATTAAATAATAACCACTAACTATTATATAACTAAACAATTATATTTATCAAATTCGTTATCTATTATACGCTACTTATTCTCCGCTATTTGCCATCTACTATCCGTTAATCACTATTTGCTACCCACTATTACTATTCACTATCTATTATTCACCATTCATTAAATTTTAACTATTGTAATAAACAAGCGCTTAATGGTCTATAAGGCTCAGCAAACTGTGCCCCTAGCTCCATTGTTCCATTGAATCATTATTAGAATGAACATTAATTATAATTGAGGGTTTTTTTTTTTTTGAAACATTTAGTGAGAACAATTGAAATTTAAATAATTTATCATCTATCTAATTTAATTTAATTTAATTTAGTTGTCCTATTTATTAAATTTGGAGTACTTGAGATGCTGCCACCATGCTGGCTAACAAGAAGACTGTCATGCCCTTTTTGAGTGGTTTAAATAGTTCAAAATTTTAAAGTTGTATATTTTATATTCAAAAATTGAGTTTAGTGAAAAGGAATTTAGAAAATGAAAGGGTTATTTTTTAGTATATAGTCAATCATAAAATGTATTAGGAAAAAAGACAATTGTAATAGATAAATGTATTTTTTTATTAAAATATCAAGAATAATGATGAAAACACTTTAATTTTTTTAATAAATTAATATACAAGAAAAATTTATTAATGATATTTAAATAATATATAAAGTAGTTCTAACATCTAGATTTTCATTTTCCCATGTAATATTAATGGTGTTAGGCAAAACTTGCATTTATTTTAAAGGTATTATTTATCTCTTGTAAATTAAAAATTTTATTAAAAGAAAATAAAAAATTAATTTTTTCAAAATTTACTTAAATTTTAAATTATAAGATAATTTTTAAATTTTCTATAATAAAATTTTAAATTTATGGGAGATAAATAATAGTTTAAAATAAAATATTTTTAAATTTTACTAAATAACTGCATTAGACACTAATTTTTCCCAAAGAAAACGACAATTAATAAATTGAAGAAACATACACGGCATTAGAGAGCCATAGGGCTTTTGCGGGGGAGGGAAACGCAAAATATTGGCGGTACAAAAAGGAGACACAAAAACGCAGCGCCAGCATTCAGCACAACAAAAAAAACCATTGCTTCCCTTTCACGGTGCTCCCTCTGAGACTTCCTTATCTTCTTCGTCTCCGCCTCATGGCCTCTCATTCTCGTTTCTTCTCTCACTCAGCTACTTTCAACTCCCTCTCTTCCATCCCTCGCCCTCCGCTCTTCTTCACGCCCAGGTTTCTTCTCACTCCCTTTTTCCCTTCTGTTTGTTTCTGATTCTTGTTTGCTTATTTTCTATTTGGTTACCGAGAAAACGCAGGAAAAAAGGGAGCTTAGAAAATGGGTTTTTTTAATTTTATTGTGTGTTTGCTGAAATATTCAGAAAATACCATAGTACTCGGTGCTTTTGGAAGATATATTGAGGAACTTCAGTTATTTTGCTTATGGGTTTACTAGTGACGGAAGTGTATGGTTTTAATTATTCATTTTCCTTTCAATTAAACAGAGTATTGGCAGCTTATGCTTGTTTTGCATTTCTTATCCAGCAAATTTTCTGGGTTTTAAGGCTTTTGTGTGTTATGAAACTCCTTATTGATCTGAGTTGCTGGTTTGTGGGTCGAGTTTGTCGTTCAGGTGCTTTCCGAATGGACTTTTGGTTAGAAGTGTGTTTTGGCTGAGAGCGTTTATGTCATCCAGCATTACCAATGAAGCTTTTCAGGAAACCAGCAGCAGCCCAAAAGCATATGGCTCTGAGCAAATCCAGGTAATTTAGCTAAATATGTAAATTTCTGTGCTTTTATATTAATACGTTAGTGTACTTCATCAGAAATGTATGATTAACGCGATAGTGCAGTAACTCATCAGACATGGCTACTTTGACTGAAAGTCTCTGTGAAATCTTGTTGGGGATTGAGGTTTTATTGTCTTTATCTTGTTTAGGTACTGGAAGGCTTAGACCCTGTTAGAAAAAGGCCAGGAATGTATATTGGAAGTACAGCACCTTGTGGTCTGCACCATTTGGTAACTTGTTTTTCTAATCATGTTTTAGAATTATTATCGTTCTGATGGTTTATCTTATCATATGAAGAAACAAAACCTTTTATTTTGCATTAATGATTCTTCCTCTTAGATTTATGAAACATTGGATAATGCGGTTGACGAGGCGCAAGCTGGTTATGCCACCCACATGGATGTTATTTTACATCCAGATGGTCCTGTGAGCGTAGCTGACTATGAGCGAGGGGTATGTCCTCTCTTCTATAACTTTTTGCATCTAATTATGTTTCTTTTTATGCTATGTATTGTTGAATGTATGCAGAAAGCCATGTTTACTTGAAATGTTGTTTTAGATATTCTAATTCAAGTGTTTATCTTTAGTTTGCCTTGATTTGTGCAACACCCTGATTTCGATATGCCTATGATACTGTTCATTGTTTACATAATGCTTATTACATTTGCATGTATGCCATATCAATATACTTCATTGGTAGGTTATTGATAATTACACACGGTAGTATATAAGCATGGATGCTTTATCATGCATACATGGTCTATGTGCAGAGAGCCTTATTCTAATTCTCTATGTTGACATGGATGCCTTATCATGTCATATAAGCATTAGCTGCTGCATCCTTGGCTTTCCCTGTCCTTTTCTGCATCTTGGCATAATGAGAGTACATGCTCTAAACTTTCTTGCTATTCAAGGTACAAACTCCAAAGCTAGTTTATAGAAAATTTTCTTTGCAGTATTCTTTTAGAAGAACTAGGCACTTTGTTGTGCTTTTGTTGTGTATTTATTACCATTCTTTTAATTGGTTTGACTTGTAAATTGCAGATTCCTACTGACTTACATCCTGTGACAAAAAAGTCTTCCTTGGATACAGTATTGACTGTATTATTGTGTGATAATTTCTGTTTTTACATTTTATGTAGGCTTGCTGCACTGTGTGACAGTATCTGGTTTTTTCAGTAGACATATTAGATTTTAGATTTTGGTTAAGAGGTTAGTATTTTAAAATAAACTAAGTAATCCATCTTTTTTGTCTTTATTGTGAATAAAGTTCAATATTCTCGTTCTGTCTATGATACAAAACTGCAAATTGCTTGGAAACCATGTTTTTTAAGTTCTTAGGATGCTTCTGATTCTGAGGAACCACATCTTTGACTCTCTGGGACTGAGCTTGTGGGTGGAGTCACCATTTTATTTCTCACTGTTTGACCTTTCTAATTCCTTGGAATATCTATGAGACAGAAAATCATGGGTTACAAGTGAGAACTAATTGATGAATACCTTAAATGAAGTAGATATTCTTCTTTGATGTAATTGTGACAAAAATACTAATTTTGAAAGTTTTCGAGGAACTTAACAGAAGTTAGCTTTCAAGAAAATGAAATTTAAATTATGAAACAACAGTACTTGTTCTTTATGGACTTTGAATGATAGAAATTTGAATTAGTTTATCCTCAAACTTCTTACTTTACTTTAGAAGATTACTTGGGAGCTAAGAGGCTATGGATGTTAACCAATTAGTTTATTATCATTATTACTTAGAGGTATTTTTTATTCTGATGCAAGTTATATTTGCTATCATATGGTGCAGGTCTTACATGCTGGTGGCAAGTTTGGTGGTTCAAGCAGTGGGTATAGTGTGTATGTTGGATTGCACGGTGTGGGTTTATCTGTTGTTAATGCCTTGTCTGAGGTGTGAATTGTATTCTAAATTGTGAAGTATACTCTTTCCGTTCATTTGTGGAAGACCTAATTTGATTTTTTGACTTTTTAGATATGAATTTCATGTGAAAATTTAACAAATTATTTGAATAATAATCAAAAAGTTTTTTCTTTTTATATGAAGTTCTTGTGTACTTTTATTTGATAAAAAAATTTTCAATTATTATTTATATGAGATATTAAATTTTCATATAAAATTTACTTTTTAAAAGTCAAAAAGTCATATAATCAAATTATGATTATGAAAAATGAACGGAGGGAATATTTTTTTTATTTTATTTAAATTTAGAGTTTACTGTTTTACGAACTGTTTCAAACTATAAAATAAAGACTTTTAGATGGGGAGAGCCTAATATCAAGGGCTTCTCTCATCTAAAGATAAGTGTTTTAAAGTTCAAAACAGTTTGGATTATAAAACATTTTTTTCTTCAAATTTATAAAAAGAAAAAATGTGACGCAGGTTTGAAAAATCATTTTTATATGTTTGTTGGTTGTCTTTCATTTGAATAATAATTTCGTGTGTTTTGCATCTGTTTTAGGAATTTACTAAACACGATAGGAGAGCTTTTTTGCATCAGAAGTAATAAACTGAAGGTTGTGATCTGTGCACCAAGACTGACCCCCTTCAGCTTCACATGTTACAGACCAGTGTTGTTGTCAATGGATAATTCTCCCATTCTTGAAAAGGTGAACCTTAGCATGTTGCATTATGACTTTCCATGTCTTCAAGAGGACGGTTCCTATATGTTTCTGATTGATATGTTGCAGCAGCTTGGTAGTGCAAGATCACTTACTGTATGATTAGTTTTGGTTAAAGTATGCATGGAATGGAATCTTATTTGGCATGCCTAATATCCAATAATTTTCAATTTCTTAAAAGCTAGTTATTTTTTTGGTACATCTTAAAAGCTAGTTATTTGGTTTGTTTTTCCATAACCAGAATTTAAAATTGTCTGTTGTACTTTTGAAGTTTCTTTCACAGCATTCCAGATTGCTTGTGAGAACAAGCATTTCCCTTTTCTAAACTGGAGTCATTGAAAGTAGTGAGAGGACGACAGAGTTGCAAGAGGATTCCTCCAGAAGTGATGAACTTTTTGGTTCAGGGCTCTCCCATGGCCGAGGAGCTTCTTGCAAAGTTCCAAAAGGTGTGTAAAACTGAGAGGTGCTTAACTGTTATCGCCTTGTAGTAGTGTTAATTGCATTCCTTTTTAACTCCCAAATGGTGATATTTTGCAAGCTGAAAAGAGCTTAACTGCTATCTCTCCGTCTCTCTATTTTTCCCTTTTTTTTTTTTTTTCCTATAATACGTTGTAGCCGGAAAAGAATGTGTAAGCAGCCTATGGATGATTGGTCAGATGTATGACACGGTAGAGCAATATGATGTTGTGGCCTCATTTTGTCTTCTGCTTTAGTTTGTTTTCCAGCTTTTTTTGGTAATCTTAGTAGGAAAAAGTATTGTGCTGTTTGGATTATATTAAACTACACAATAATAATCACTGGATGAGGGGTGAGCTTCCTAATATTAGAGGCTTTTCTCTATCTAATAACTTTTGTTTTACAGTTTAAAACAGTTTGAATTATAAAACAGAATACTTATCTTAATAATACTAATTAGTTTAGAAGGGTGGATTTTGGAGAATTGAAAGTAGTTTTTATGTTGTTTCTTATCCTGGAGGAAAACTTGTTGTAGGACAGTTTCCAGAGAGATAATACATATCCAAAATGGTGTTAATTTCCGTTTACTTCATTGTTGTGTGTTTAATTTATTGGTCTTAACATTGTTAATTACTTTGATAAAAGACTGGGTTTTTCTTAGGGAATAGGTTAAGAGTTTTGAAAGAATAAAAAATAATATTTAATTTATCAATTGTCTAATTAAATTTATTAAAGTAACAATAATATTAAAATTAATATATATTTTTACATTTTTCTATAAAAATTTATGACAAAAAAGTGCCCTTAAGCGTATAAGTTATAAAAATCATGAATATATTTTCAATGTCATCAACACGAAGGTTCTTAGTTAAACCTTTTCCCCATTTCCTATTTGCCATAAGAGATCATCAAGAAAGTTTTTCAGCCTGTAGTAATACTCCTCCAGGATCTGCGTGCAACATTCTCTTCCCTTTACCCTCCCAACCTCCCTTACTAAAAGCCTCATCAAATTCGTGTTTTATGTCCTTTTTTGGATGCTCTCCAGTTCATTTTTACGTATCTCGAAATTAATTTTTTTTTAAAGTAATTTTAAAGAGGCATTCCATATATATTGACCTAATGCATTGATCTCAAGACATAAAACTTGAATTTAACTTACAAGACAACATTTATTTACTAGTTCACCTTGAGCATTGGCCTTTTAGGGTTATATTGAGTCCTTGATACAACCATTAAATCTTTACCAGCTCAATTATGAGTTTAAGGCAGCAGCAATTGGATGGTGGAGGCCCCCTAAATGTGACGGCAATCATCCATCCACTGGTTTCAGTTCTGCAGTCGAGCACATTATAGGCTGCAAAAATGCGAGGTGCAAACTCTTTCCTTGATCATTTTACACCCCAAAATGGTGAAATTGTGGTAGGTGCAAATTGTTCTTTTATTTTAAATTATTTAGTGTAGAGAATGAAAAAAGTGCATATAAGTTCTGATTTTAATCTAAATTAAGATTCTAATTTTTTTTTTTGAATCAAAACTGATTCACACTATTCTAATAAAGAATAAATATTTTCAGTCATATAATAAAATACAAAATCTCTGTTTCTTTTTTTTTTTTTTTTATTATTATTATTATTTATAATTTCTGTTGGAGCACGGCAGAACAACAAGATATATAACTCATTTTCTGGCAGAAGCACCATAATAAGCTAAAACGCTACGAATGATCTCCCGGGCATTCTCCCTAATTTGGTTTTTGTTCCCTTTAAACTCAGGTGAAGAAATAATTAACTCGACTAAGGGATAAAACCATGGAAATTCATCCCTAGCAAAAAGTTGGCGACAACACTCTCTTGAGGGATAGTTCGAATAAAGTTCCATTTTTGTAAGTGTAAATATAATTCTCCAAGTAGATTTAACACACTCTTCAGTCGCATAATTCAAACCTCTTTGCATAAAGAACTCTCTTGCCGCTGATAGATTTGGTGCTTCTTCGGGGGAATCAACATTCGGGATTGCACTCACCGGAGCTGGAGCTAGCTGAGATGATGCCATCGTGATAGCCAACAAGAGCACCACTCAGAGGCGGAGCCAGAAATTTTTTTCAGGGGGGGCAAGATGCAAGAAATTTTTTTCAGGGGGGGCAAGATGCTAAAATTTTCAAAGTTCAAGAAAAGCTAAATAATTTTTCATATACTAATTTGTAAATTTTTCAAATTTCAGGGGGGGCGAGCGCCGCCCCTCGCACCCCCCTGCCTCCGCCACTGCAGCACCACCATGGCAGCCAAGATGCTATGCTTCTGCACTGCCATTGGTGGGATCTCTTGGTTTGTGGCTGGCTAGCTAGGGAAGGAAACTATGGAGTCGAGTTGGTATGTCAGAGAAAAGAGAGTATTTATACAAATGTTTTTGCTAATTGTTAGGGTGTTTTGGAGTCGGTTTCTACTAAATCACAATTTATTGAATCATTTATTGTCCTAGGAGGCTTAGTAAACTGTTCATCTAGCTCTATTTTTGCGTTGAATCTTTTTTTAATTGACCTTTATTTTTATTTGGGGGTTTCTTTCAATTCTTGAAGTATTTAGTAGGAACAATTAAAATTTAAATATTCAATCATTTTTAACTTAGTTGGCCTACTTATTAAATTTGGAGTAATTGAGAGGTCACCCTGCTAGCTATGCAAGAAGATCCTCATCCCTCCAGTGCGGTGAAGGCCAAGATTTTAAAATAATCAACTCAAATTTCAAACCTTAAGTTAAATGGTAAGAATATCAGAAAAGGAGCATGCGGAAGAAAATCAAGATTTCTTAGTATTAAAAATGTCAAAATTTTCAATCAGAACCATTTATTAAGTGGAGCACAATTAGGGATCTACTTAATAAATGGTATTGATAGGATGTTCTGGTATCTTTGATGTCAGAAAGTCCTCATTTTCACCTTTTTTGTGTTGAGAAAAATAGAGAAGTATCTTTTTTTTTTAAAAAGTTTTTTTTTGGTTTTAAAAAAGTTTTTTTCTTTTTTAGGCACAAATTAAAAACATTTTATATTATAAATGTTTGTAATAAAATATAAAAATTGACATTAATTTTAGTATTGATGCAAAGTGAATTAATTTAATTAGAAAATTAATAAATTAAAAATTAATTTTTTAATGCAAATTTATTACAAAAAGGTGTATTTGTGCATAGGTTAGATAAATCCAAAAAAATGACCATTCGCTAGATTAACATTTTGACAATTAAAATATCATAAAAAATAATAAAAAGTCTTAAATATCTTTAATGAATTAAGAAAATTTTATTAGTATAATAATACTAAAATAATTTTATAGGATATCTAGATTTTCAATTTCTAATGTAATATTGTGCTCTTATTTTACCAAAGAAAAAGACAATTGATGAACAAAAAAGTTATAATCATGTCATGTTGTATTTGAACTTTTAATGTGCGTTCTAATTATTGAAATTATTAAATTGTACTTAATAAATTTTTTTATACTTATTATTTTTTTTTGAATATTTTGACATAAGATGTGTTCGAAACTCACTCAAGTAAGCGGAATACACCGCTTCAATAGCTACTATTATTGGACCTATAAGATCAAGTGCTTTTATACTTATTTATTAAAAATAACTTAATAATTTTATTATTAAGATTGTATTTTTAATATACAATCTAGATTAAAAGTACAATTTGTATTGAAGTACATGAATCCTTGATAAATTGAAGAAACATTAAGAAGCGGTAGGGTTTTAGATTTTGGGAGGAGGGAATTGCAAAATATTAGGGTCCAAAAAGGGGACACAAAAACGCAGCGCCAGCATTCAGCACAACAAAAGAACCTCTGCTTCCCTTTCATGGCGCTCCACTTGAGACTTCCTTATCTTCTTCGTCTCCGCCTGATGGCCTCTCATTCTCGTTTCTTCTCTCAATGTGCTACTCTCAACTTCCCCTCTTCCATCCTTCGCCCCTTTCTCTTCTTCACGCCCAGGTTTCTTTTTTCCCTTCTGTATGCTTCTGGGTCTTGTTTGCTTATTTTCTATTTGGTTCCCGAGAAAACACAGGAAAAAAGGGAGCTTAGAAAATGGGTGTTTTAATTATTTTGTGTTTGCTTAAATATTCAGAACATACTATAGACTGGGTGCTTTTGGGAGGATATATTGAGGAACTTTAGTTACATGCCTTATCATGGCATGTAAGCATTAGCTGCTGCATCCTTAGCTTTCCCTGTCCTCTTCTGCATCTTGGCATAATGAGAGTACATGCTCTGAACTTTGTTGCTATTCAAGGTTCAAACTCCAATGCTAGTTTATAGAAAATTTTCTTCGTGGTATTCCTTTGGAAGAACTAGGCACTTTGTTGTGCTTTTGTTGTGTTTTTATTACTGTTCTTTTAATTTGTTTTTCTTGTAAATTGCAGATTCCTACTGACTTGCTCCTGTGACAAAAAAATCTTCCTCGGAGACTGTATTAACGGTATTATTGTGTAATAATTTCCATTTTTACTTTTTATGTAGAGGCTTGCTGCACTGTGTGAGAGTTATCTAGTTTTTTCAGTAGGCATTTTAGATTTTGGTTAAGAGGTTAGTAATTTAAAATTAACAAAATAATCCATCTTATTTGTCTTCATTGTGAATGAAGTTTAATATTCTCATTCTGTCTATGATACAAAACTGCAAATTGATCGGAAACCATGTTTTTTAAGTTCTTAGGATGCTTTTGATTCTGAGGAACCACATCTTTGACTCTCTGGGACTGAGCTTATAGGTGGAGTCACCATACTATTTCTCACTGTTTTGACCTTTCTAATTCCTTGGAATATCTATGAGACAGAAAATCATGTGTTATAAGTGAGAACGAATTGATGAACACCTTAAGTGAAGTAGATATTCTTCTTTAATGTAATTGTGACAAATAAAGTAATTTTGAAAGTTTTCAAGGAACTTAACAGAAGTTAGCTTTCAAGAAAATGGAATTCAAATTATGGAACAACAGTACTTTGTTCTTTATGGACTTTGAATGATAGAAAATTGACTTAGTTTATCCTCAGACTTCTTACTTTAGAAGATTACTTGGGAGCTAAGAGGCTATGGATGTTAACCAATCAGTTTATTATCATTATTACTTAGAGGTATTTTTTATTCTGATGCAAGTTATATATGCTATCATATGGTACAGGTCTTACATGCTGGTGGCAAGTTTGGTGGTTCAAGCAGTTGGTATGGTGTGTATGTTGGATTGCACGGTGTGGGTTTATCTGTTGTTAATGCCTTGTCTGAGGTGTGAATTGTATTCTAAATTGTGAAGTATACTCTTTCCGTTCATTTGTGATAGACCTAATTTGATTTTTTGACTTTTCAGATATGAATTTCATGTGAAAATTTAACAAATTATTTGAATAATAATCAAAAAGTTTTTTCTTTTTATATGAAGTTCTTGTGTACTTTTATTTGATAAACAAATTTTCAATTATTATTTATATAATATATTAAATTTTCACATAAAATTTAGTTTTGAAAAGTCAAAAAGTCATATAATCAAATTGTGCATATGATTAGTTCCTATAGGGAAAGATCAGTTCTCAAAGTTAAGGAAATCATAATGGCTACGAGAGCATAGCTGATATTTTGATATTGGGTCAATATAATCTTGAATTGTCCGTCAATTGGTTATCTTATTTTATCTTTAGATAGTCTCACCTCTTGTGAAATTGTCTTCTCTTTACTCACAGGCATTGGAAGTTACTGTTTGGCGGGATGGAATGGAATACCAGCAAAGATATTCACCTGGAAAGCCTGTAACATCACTAATTTGCAATACTCTTCCTATTGAAGAGGAGGATCATCAAGGGACTTCTATTTGGTTTTGGCCTGACAAAGGAGGTTTCATGGCTATGAAGCCTCTATGCCTCTTATGCTCATAATTTTTTGTTTTTTCCCCCCTCAAATTCTCATAATTGAATTTGATGATAATTTGCAATGTTCACAGCAGCAATAGAGTTTGACTACAACACCATAGCTAGAGAACTTGCTTTCCTGAACCCCAAGGTAACTATTTAATTGAAGGGGTATAATTCTAAGCTTCTACCTTGAACTTCACTCTCTTTACTTAACCTTTGCAGCTTACTATTACTTTTAAAAAGGAAGATAGTGATCCAGAGGAGAATGTATACAATGAATACCTCTATGCAGGGGGCTGGATTGGTCGAATATGTGAAATGGCTAAACACTGATAAGGTTTGTTGCTCTTTTCCCTCTCCTTTACAAGTCCTTTTTCAGTTTTATTGCTTGACTAGCCAAGCTTTTCACCTCAACCTAACCTAGGATGCCCAGTTTTTTACATGCTAAGGTGCTGTGCTTGGCCTCTTGGGCATTTGAAGTGGCTATGCAGCTTATGCCAAGAGGGTAGCTACCCATGAAATGGTGTGGTTTTTAGATTTTCTTCTGCACGTTTGTTGCTTCTATCATCAACCCTTTCTGTATTTGATAATTCCTTAGAACTGCAGATGGTGAATGGTAGCCAGTGACTGACGGTTCTTTTCTGCAGAAACCACTTCATGATGTTCTGGGTTTGAGCCAAAAAACAGAAGGGATTGCAATTGATGTAGCTCTCCAATGGTAAGCCATTTACCTCTATATTCACCATTCATAACTGACGTTTATCATGTGTTGAGGATATCATATTCAGAACATTTCCATTACGAGCATCAACTATTTTCTACACTGCTAAATTCATGAGTTATTTCTTGAATAATCCATGTTATATCTGGTTCATCATTTTACTAGGTGTTCAGATGCATACTCAGACACAAT